CCCCAAAACCCCAAAACCCCAAAACCCCAAAACCCCAAAACCCCAAAACCCCAAGTTGAGTGGCTCGAATTGATGACTAAAGCTTTATTAAATTTTTAGTTTATTTCTAGAAAGGGTTTATCTCTGAAATTGTCTAGAGTCGCCATAAGATTTTTCACGGTGTCTGCTCCTCTTAATGCCCTTCACTGGAGCTGCGACCTTGTTCCGCTTCCTGGAGTTTTTACCACCAAGTTTCACGTTGAGATTCACTCTAGGAGGGACAGCAAGTCCAAAGGACTTGCTTACTTTCTGGAGATCAAGCTCATGTACGTTGAAAATGTCTTTATGGGAATGACTAGCATAAGACTGAATGTAAGAACGGTAAGCCTCTCTAGCAGACTGGTTAAGAAAATAGTTCCTTTCAACAAGTTTCTCAAATTGGCTACCGATGTTCGCTAGCTTGCTCTCAGGGAATTCATATTCATTCAAAGGAATTCTTGCCTTTTTAAGATAGTGAAGAAATCCAAGTTCTGATTCTAGAAGGAAGAGAAGAGCTCTTCCTTGAGAGGAAGAGCCTCTAGCAGTTCTTCCAACTCTGTGAATGTATTCAGCTGGATCATCTGGTGGATCATATTGAACAATCCAATCAACTGCTGGGAAATCGAGTCCTCTCTGAGCTACATCAGTACAAATGAGGACACCCTCAGTTGCTTCACAGAAATCGAAATAAGTTGAGGTTCTCTTTTGCTGGTTCTGCTTTCCGTGGATCTCCTTCACTGGAACATCAACATAATTGAGAAGATCTGAGTAGAACTTTACTGCATTGCAAGAGCTCATGAATACCATGACCTTTTTCTTTATATTCTTTCTCAAGAATGTAAATAAGAGTCTGAACTTAACATCACTCTCAATTTTAACAAAGCCTTGCTCTAATGAAGCTACAGTTGGAGCTAAAGATTTGTTGTTGATCTCAACCATGTAAGGGTCTTTAAGAGATACTCTACATAAATCTTCAACCTTCTTAGTTTGAGTTGCTGAGAAGAGAACAGTCTGTCTTTCCTTTGGTAATAGCTTTAAGATTTTGTTCATTTCTTCCTCAAAACCGATTTTCAAGATTGCATCAGCTTCGTCGATAATTAGCATCTTTAGGTTGTGAAACACAAAGCCATCAGTGTTTTCAAGGTGGTCAAGAAGTCTTCCAGGAGTGGCAACGAGAAGATTGATTCCTTTCTTGAGCATATTGGCTTCAGTACTCTTCTTAGCACCTCCCATAACGACTCCATGTGTTTTACTATGATAGAACAAGAGATCTTTTGCTACATTATAATTTTGAAGTGCAAGTTCTCTAGTTGGAGCAATTACTAACACTCCTGTACCATTCTTAATGTTGAATCCTGCTTTGAATAACATTTCTACTGCTGGAATCATGTATGCAAGAGTTTTACCACTTCCTGTCTTGGCTGCTCCCAATACATCTCTTCCTCTCAAGAGTTGTGGAATAGACTTTTCCTGGATTGGAGTGCAAACCTCATATTGCATCTTCTCAATAGATTTCTTAGTAAGATCACAAATCTCAAGATCAGTAAATTTGACTTGTGCGAAGTATTCCTCTTTCTCCTTCCCATCAGCTAATATTTTAGCACTTGGACCATTCTCAGGGGCTGTTTTCTGAGAAGACTCTTCCTTATCGCTCTGGTGGCCTTCACCTTCGTCTTGGTCTTGGTCAGGAGTCTTGGTGTCTTCTTGTACGGCCTCTTGAGCGGCCTCTTGGGCTTTTTGGGATTCGATTTCGAGTTCTCGCTTTTTGGCGAGGGCTTTTTGTTTTCTTTTAAGGACTGCTTTAGTTTCCATTTAAACACTCTGAAATAATTAAATTAGTAGAATTAATATGGGGTTTTGGGGTTTTGGGGTTTTGGGGTTTTGGGGTTTTGGGG